GGCCGGGATGCCGGCGGCACCGACGGGAACGCGGCGGCGCTGGCTGCCCTTTGTGCATGGAACAAAGAACAGCCAGGGGCTTCCTTCGCTGTCCAGAAGCGGGAAGGAGCCAGGAAGGGAAACGTCACCCGGCAGAGATGGGCAGCGTGTCCGGAGGTGCTCGGTCCCCTGCCACCGAGCCAGAAACGGGCAGCACAGCTAATGGCACCTCCCTGGCTCACCCCGCAGGTGCCGCCGGGGACCCTGATGTCACCGCAGGCAGATTTGCCGTGCTGCGATGCTGGTCTGCATTCCAACAGGCAGAGTGCAGCTCCAAAACCTCAGGCTTCAGGAGAGGCAAAACCCCGGGAACATTTCCAGGAGAAGTCCGGTTTATGCGGATGCGCTACGGGCTCAGAACAGACACGCTCCTCCCAACCGATGGATCCCTGCAATTTGCCCTGGCTGTTTATTTCCACAGCCTGGATTGCTTCAGCTCCGAAAGTGTCTGGTCACCTTCAGGAGCTCTGCTTGGCGCCTGCTCTCCTCAGTGAGAGCGGGAGGAAAGCCGAGTATCAGTTCACTTACTCACTTCCCATCCTCTCCTCCACCCGAACTCGTCTGCCCGATTCCAAGACAAAACTCTCCTCACCTATTTTCCTGCCGCCCCAGGGCTGCAGGTGGCCTCCATCCCTGCGCTGGATTTGGGACGAGAGGGAGGGCTTCTAGTGTGGTGCGATTGTGGGTGAGAAGCCGGGGTCGGGGTGGCTTTGGGATGCCACAGCCTTAGAGCCACTCTTGCCAGCTTGCAGCCGCACTGGCACCAAATGGATTTGGGGGATGCAGCTGGCGACCCCCCGCTTTTGACCGTGCTTTGTGAGATGCGCAGCGGCAGCTCCTCCTCGAGGGGGCCCCGAGATCCCCTCCCGTTTGTCGGGGGACCCTTGGGCACCGCTCACCGGCACCGCCGCGGTCCCGCATCGCCACCGGCCGTCCCTGCGCCTGCATATCCCCGATCTGGGACCATTCCTGCGATCCTTGTGCCATCTAGTGGGACCTGCACCAGCCACTCGCCGGGGTGTCCGGACAGCGCTGGACCCCGGCCGGAGCCGGGCAGCGGAGGGGACCCGCACGGACACTCAAAAAGCGCTTCTACAGAGGGTCAGTGCTGGTCGCTACCAGAGACACCGCGGGCAGGGGGGCAGCCGCGGTCCCCAGGAGACACAGCACCCAGGGACCCCGAGTTGCAGCTCCCACCGCCCAGAGATTCGGTTTTTAGCCCCAGTGCTGTGCCCAGAGTGGCCGGGTGCTCAAGCTGTCTGGCATGAAGGCTGTGCCTGCTGTCCTTGCTGTGTCTGCACTGTGCCCAGCGTGCCTGGGATCCACGGTGTGCCAGGGACTCCTGGGGGGCACGGCATGCTGATCTCCACTCTCTGGTGATCCAGCAGAGGGACACAGGAGATGGAATGAAGTTGCTTCAGGGGCAGTTTAGTTTGGACGTTAGGAAAAGGCTTTTCACAGATAAAATGGTCAGATACAAGGACAGGCTCCCCAGAGAAGAGGTCATGGCATCAAGCCTGCCAGAGTTAAGGAGCATCTGGAAGATGTTTTTGGTCATATGGTTTGCTTTCAGGTTATCCTGCAATGAGCAGGGAGTTGGACTCGATGTTTCTTATGTGTCCCTTCAAACTCAAGACAGCCTGATCCTGTGATACCACAGTTTGATGCTATTGCCAGGATGGAGCCAGCATATTCCATGACACCCCCGGTCACCACAGCACAGCGCTCCAGCAATGCCAGCTGCCCTAGCTGAGGGAACAAACGTCTTTTTTTTACCCAAAATGGTTAGGTTTTCCTCAAAAGGCTTCATCTTGTGCGGAGATGCGGGAACAGGGACGGCTCAGCCACACCAGAGCTCATTGTGGGGCAGCAGTGCCACGCTGTGCCTGCCCAGCTCCTGCAGCCACCCGTGCGGCATTTCTGTTCGTGACACAGGGCAACAATCTGCTTCAGTCTGAGCCAAATGGGGGCTCCCTGGGAACAGATCTAAGGGGGCCTGCTGGCCATGGCCAGGCTGGAAACCCAGAACTAGAGGAGAAGGGCGCCAGGACAATGATGTTTGGAACACAGGAATGGGTCACTGGCTGCGTCTTTAGGTGACGCGCCCCTGACCAAGGAGGTTTGATTTTTGTACGGGTGAACCCCACAAACCTCCGGATGCTGCAATGCATCCTCGAGCCTGCTGGTGTCACCAAGACACGTATGTCCAAGCAAACACTAAAGACATGCTTGGAAAAAACTTTGCCGGTTTTAGTGCCGGGAGCGGGTTAAAGCCGCAACCGTGCACCGCAGCTCTGGCCAAAGCGCCTGCAAAATCACTTCACCGGCTGCAGGAGACGGCGCCGCTTCCCCTGGCACAAGACGCTAGGATAGGGGCGTGGGAGAGCAAAGCATCCCTCGCCTCCAGCTTTTTGGGGTTGTTTCCAGGAGAAAAAAAAAAATCCGATCTTGGAAAGAACACGCACGAGCTTTGCAGCTTTGTTAAAGCAAAATTTAATTTGGTTTTCTCTGTTTCGCTCGATCCTGGGGAGAAAAAGGTGTTGGTGTCCCATGGCATCGATTCCACGTCTCGCGGAACACAAATCCTCTTGGCCGCTAGTGTTTCCCAATTTTTTGTCTGAAAGGCATCCAGCAAAGTAAAAGAGACGGGGGCAAAATGGTGGTTTGGGGTTTTGCCGCTTGGCCAGGAGGGAGCCAGCACGGGTTTGTGTGGGGATGCAGAGGCCCCGTGTCCCCCCAGACACGTGTGTGCAGCCCGGCAACAGCCCCGGGCAAGGTCCCCGCCCGT